TGCTGCTTGGCAGAATGAGGGAGGGAAGGAGGCCCACCTGAATTCAAGCCTTTACAAACAGTTGTAGGACAACAAATAAGGGCAGAGTGCCAAGCTACAAACACCGGCAATGGAGATGTGCTGGAAACCTAACATTCTGAGCAACTATCCTTGGAGTGATGAGAACCGTAAAGCGTTCATCAGTCCTGATTCAAAAACTAACCTGTCTGACACAGACAGGCAGGGGAGGACAACACCCACATTGTCATTACCACCTTTAGAGGTAACAGAACAAGCGATTTGCAAGTTTCAATTCCTTTCATCTGTAGAACAAACCCTTGGTAGATGATTATGTCCAATTTACAAGAAAGGTAAATGAAGCACAGAGAGGTGGAGACGTTTGTCTGAAGTTGCACAGACACCTCTGGGTGGCAGAGAGGGAATGCGAACCTAGGCTGGGTCACAGAAGCAATGAGGCTAGAATTTTAAGAAGGAATAATTTTACGTGCTAACTACAGCAGACAAGCCCAGAAAGAAAAAGAAAAAACGAAACAAATTCTTCGGATATTGAGGCCCAATGATCACTGGTTCTTTATTGACAGTACTTTTAACACCATCTGAGAGGAAGAGAGCCTGGTAGCAAGGGGCAGGCAAAAGTGACCGTCGGCTAGGTTGGGGTGTGAAACCTGTGACTAGAGTATTCTTGTCAAATGTGAGGCTAAAAAGAGAGAACCAGGCATTCGGGAGGAGTCCTGGTGTTAACCCAAGCTTAATTCAGACCAGGAGAGAATTGGGGATATTTGTAGGGGGGTGTAAAATATCTTGAGAAAAGGCAGTTCAAAATGCAAGAGAGGGAAGAGACGAAAACCTGGATCTCACTTTCCCATAATGCATCCCCAAGGTCGATACATCACTGGAATTGGTAGTCACAATGACAACATGACTGTAAGACCAGACTGGCTATCCTGCCAGTCCATTTTTTCTGAAGGAATGTGTTTCCTTTTGCAAGGACACAAATATACAAACATGCAGAAAGTGCAATGTCAGAAGGATGACAGGAGTTTATTTCCGGCCTGGTGGGATCTAGAGAGGTTTTTGTCTTTTTTGGTTTCCCTGTATTTTCTAAAATGTACATGCACTTAAGGAGAAGCGTAACTGTACTTTTCTAAGAGAAAAGTTAAAGGCTGGCTCAGTGGCACAGTGGTAATACACTGCTCAAGAGAAGCTAAACCAAACATGGCAACAGAGGTTTGATCACAGACCTGGCCAGCCTGAAATACACTGGGCACGCACATGAGTGTCCAAGATCTGAGCAGCTGGAAGTCTGGACAAAGGGAGTATGGGGTGACCAGACCCTGTGGAGGGTGCTCATCTTCCCCCATGCCAGCACATGCCTGTGTTCTATCATGAAAGTAAAAAATAAATAAATTAGAAATTAAAATGCATTTTGTTTAAGGCAACTGTAAATGAACGGTTTGCACACCTGCTAGAGACACTATAGCAAAGGCCCTGCTGCTTCACCGGAAACTAGCTAAGAGCCCACTCAAAGCACATACCATATATTCAGTGAGAACAGAATGCAGCATGGAGACCGAGAGCAGGATTCTCCTCCCACCACCTTGCCGGGCATCTACAGTTTCTCAATGGCCAAGGGAATGAGTGATGACACCTGAGCAAAGGGATGACCCTGGAGCCCATCGGCCCTTGTTTCTTGGTTTTCTGCTGCAGAAACGGATGGCTGCTCAGTGGCCCATTATCAAGAGGATGCCTCTAAAACCAGTTAGAAACTATTTGTGTTGCCAAGGACCAAAATTGCAGGGAAGAAAGTTGGGCAGTCGTGGGGGCACTGACAGATGGTTGTATTGTGTGAGCTGGATTGTCCTTTGATGATGAAACAATAAGACAACAATGAACTTTAACACTCTTAAGTCTGGCTGGTAAAAGAAAATATAAAATGCTCATCCCTTCCCCACCCCATGTTTTCACTGTTGTCTCCCACGGTTCCTGGTAGCTATCTTGTATCCAGTCTTTTCTTTGTCACCCCCATCTTGCTCCACTCTGTTTTCTGAACCCTCTATTCTTGTTAAACGCTATAGTCTAACTTTTAGTTGTACACAACCCTTTCTGTTTTCCTCCAAACAGCATATTTTCCCATCTTTCCTTTTGCAGTCCCAGGTCTTTCTCTCACCAAGCTTCACTGCCTATTTTCCCTATTAAATTCTGTGCTTCCCCTCTGACCCCACGCTCTCTTAAGCTTTTTTCTAGTTGGTCTTCTTTGTCTGTTTCCCCTTTGTTCTTAGTGATGCCTCTGTTATCTATTGGGTTATAGAAAAGTCATGAAGAATCAGTTTTGCATAGAAAAATACATCTTGACTTTTCTGACAACCCAATAATTGGCAAGAGTGCCCTCCTCTGTAACCAAAAGTGTCTTAGCTCAACAGCTGCCCATTAAACCCCGATTATGTTAGGAATGCACTGAGGCACACCATAAATGAATGAAGCATGGCAATCCCCTGCCCTCATAGAGGCGTGTATGTGGGTTCCCAAGTCAGTCTCATACATCACGATGGATGCTACAGGAGAAATGTATATTCTTGGAGTATGTATTGGATAAAAGCAGGATGTACATAACCAGTCTATGAAAGAACACTGGACTAATTCCTTGACCTGTTACATATAACTTTCCATTTGACATTTTGTCTAGCCCCATTTTGTAACCTCTGTCCCACAGTTAAAAAATGCTAGATCAATTATATGCTGATCAGAAATTACAATGAAGGGACCAGCAGGTGGTATGGTGGTTGAGGTGCTGGGCAGTCCCACATGGCTGACCATGAGTCCTGGACCTGGTGGCTTGTTTTCTCACTTTCTCTCTGTCTTTCTCTGGCCAAAATAAAATAAATGAATGAATAAATAAAATTAAATAATTTTAAAAAAGAAATTACAATGAAAAATAGATCCTTAAACTACTATTGTGAACAATTAGGAAAAAGCCCAGATACCTGACCTCTTTCACCTGGACTGAGACCCATTTGTATGTGCTTCTCCTGTTCTTTTCCCCATCTGAATGCTTCCCAAATCTTTGGGTCCTAGTTTGTTGCACTCTGAGGTTCTGTTCAACATGAAACAGAGCACTGACTGCTTTGAAGTACAATCAGTTAACTGGTATAAGAATAGCCAATGGGTTAGAGTAAACCTTACTACCCAGAAGCCATGGAAAACTGTACTCAAGTTTATTCATCACATTAGCCAATGCTTAGACCAGCAGTTCTCATATGTCTTCAGAATCACCTAGAGTGCTTGTCTAAGTGTAGGCCCTGCATTCAGAGGGGTCTGAGTCAGTAGGTTTGATCAAGGCCTACAAACATGCATTTATGAGACCAGCAGATGATGTAATGGTTACACTGCTGGACTCCCATGTACTCAGCTGCAGTTGGAGACCTAGACCTAGCAGCTTAAAACTCACGAAAATTAATATTGGAAAAAATAAAAAAGAATAAAGGCATTTCTTACATTGGATAGAATACAGAGTCTTTGGATACTGTTGCTCTGTAAAGTCAAAAGCATCAGGGTACAACCATATGTGGACACGTACCAAGCAATGACAGCACAGGAGTGTGTATGGCATCATTGGTCCCCAGCCCTTGTGGAGGCCACTGACATCTCGATTTTTCATAATGTGATTTCTAAGGTAAAGGGCACAGGACTAAAAGCTCCCTATCCTTTGATAAAATCAGTTTATTTTCCAAATAAATCACTAATACAGTCTTGTTTTCAGAACTTTTCCCAGAACTTCCCCTCGCCCCCACCAAAGGTCAATGTAGAAAATTTTTAATTATCTGAAGGTTTCTGTTTGGTTGTTTGTCTCTAAATAAATGTGAGCCTTCTCTGAGTCTGGAAGACATCATGTCTGGGGGAAAGTTTTACAGATATTTGGTGAATTTCCAAAGACAGAATCAGTGTATACTCCAAGAGCAGAGAAAAACAGAATGTGTGCTTGTTTCTTTTCTTTGTTAGTACCAAAATAGATTTGTGTTTATTTGCTAGGAAAAAAAAAAATCTACCATGATTAAAAGGTTCAGACAGTAAGTGGTACATTTTGAAAGTGCTGCGTAGCTATATGGCTTCCATTAACATCTGTGGGAGTTTAATCCTCCGCCTTGCTATGAAAATGTAATCTACTCAGAGGCTAAGCATATTTCTGGATTGTGGAATAAAACGAAAACATTAGCAAAGAGATAAAACATCAGTGAGTCTTCTTATAATCCCACAACTCTCCTCTTCAGAAAGGAAAGACCACCTCCTGGTCTCTACTTGTATGTATGAACAGGAATTCCTCCACGGTCACACTCAGATTATAAACGTGTCCCATGCACATACTTATGTGACCATAATCCCCTCACATGCCTTTGAGTCAGTCCTCCGCCACTGAAAACAAGGACAGACGTTTCATCAGGGCAGGCTGTATGTATTCACAGAAAAACAAATCGGACCTGGGTTTTCAGTCCAAGTCTATCACTCTACCACTGGAGCACTGCAGGTCATTTCAGCAAGAAGGTCATTTTCTTCTATAAAATGTAAAACACAATGTCTACTCTATGCAGTTTTTAAAAGTATTAAATGAAATAAAACCAGAGTAGCTCTCCTGACTAGTCTAGACAAGTTTCTCCTTCCAGGGCAGGGTTGTGGCTCCTGGGAACAGGCCCCAAGAGAATAGTGGAAATAAAACTAGGAAGGATTCTAGAAGTGGCAATAGCAGAACAGCAAGAAAAATAGCTATCACTAGAATTGAGTGCTTCTATTGGCCAGCTCACTGCTAACAAGGACGATGATTTCAAACTGGAAAGCACTGCCCCTTCATCAAGAATGCTTATGATGACGATGGGGGACTGAGGCCTTCCTGGAAGTGGGTAATCCATAAGTCAGGCTACAACCCTGGGTAAGCATTTTGTATACTTTATCTCATTTAAGTCTCACAAAAGAGTCTATGTGGAAGTAGTATTATGCCTCTTACAGACTATTTATTGCTAAACATGAACATTTGGGTTTCTTGAGAAAGTATAAAAGCCAACCAATTGAAGCAAGTAGGGAGGGTTTTTGAATAGCAAATCTACATACCTGATGATTAGCAATGTTCTTTATGACAAATCATGAATCTTTTTGCTTATATTGGTTATTTTTTTATTATTACACAAATTTTTACACTCGTGCTTTGTCTCCTGGTCAGGTTTTTCAAGGATGTAAATACTCCTCTCAGAATCTACCAGTTAAGCTTCATTAATTGATATGATTAAATAATAGCAGAGGTTACACTAAAATAGCTTGAATATGATTATTTTTACCCAGAGAGCTCTAAAAAATGATTGTACTTGTGGTTCCGGTACATCGCACGTCTCTACTCTGTGCTTTATGTACTTATGACTATATCCAATTTTCCCAATTAAAGCGTAAGCTTTTAAGGGTAGGGACCCTGCTTTGCTTCTTGTTTTGTTCTGTTCTGTGTTTGGCATAGGGCTTTAATTAGGGTAGGAACTGAGTGATTGGTTTTTGAATGAATAATTATGCAAAATATACAACTTAGTCAAAGAAACAGGAAGTGCTAATTTTAGGTTAAAAACATCTAGATTGGTTTTCAAGTATCCCGTGACTGGGTTAGTCCACATGAGGCATATGTTTCATGTTATAATATCAGATTCTAGGCTAGGATGTTCATTTTTATAAAAACAAAGTGTCTCAAGGGTGATTCAGCTGGGGATACCTTCCAGAAAGATAAATATAAACCTGCTTCCTTCTGGCTGACAAATTACACATTCATGCGATAGGGAGTGGGGTGTGGGGTGGGGGGAAGAATCAAATTTCCATGAGAAAAAGGAGGATGCTTTCATTTAGTCAAGTATGATTAATATTTTTGTTAAACATCTATGCTGTGTCTATTTACTGTGATCGCCTAGATTTTGCAATATGCTGCAATATGACAAGGCCTTTTGTCAAGAATGGCCTATTTTATTTCTAAGAAACATGAATCAGACTGAAATGAAATCTTATACAGTGCTGTATTCCTAAACCATTCCCCCAAATAAAGAACCATTTTATTTAAGTAGATAAGAATTCAGATACTGAATCATGAAATCTTAAGAGCTGGAAAGGTACTTCAGTGATTTCCTCATTAATAAGTGAGTCAATTTGTTTTATTATTAGATGGCTCAGCTTTTCGGAAAGAAAGTTATCTTTAGAGGATTAGGCTGGTTAAGGCCAATACTTCTAAGAGAATTTGGAGAAAAACGTAAGAGAAACCAAGTGTTGAGGAAATGGGCAAGTCACAATCAGTGCAAGAGCACTCGGACAGAGGCAGATATGCAGGGAGGGCTTGGGTCATCGCGGAGGAAACATGTGGAGCCCTATCAGTGAACACCGCAGCTGAGGAGAAAAGTGCTTTCTTGGGTGCAAGAGGTAGGAGCTTAGGGAGCCATGTACACTAAGTGTGAGGATCAAACCAGATGACATTTTGTGAACTCTTGAGCTAGTGTAAGTGCTGGCTCTGAAATGTATTCTTTTTTCTTTTTTAAAGGTAGATTTATTTATTATTTATTTATTTATTTATTTATTTATTTATTGCCATAGGGTACATGCACACACCACAGAGTGAAGAGAGAGGGAAAGTGAGAAATCCCTTCTCGTCCAATTGCCTCTCAGAATTTTGGGGTACATAAGCACATTTACCTGGTATGTTTTTCAAGCTTCTGAGTCTGGTACTCAAACCACAGAGCAAGGCATGTAGAATCCAGCATCTTAACCTCCATACCACCTATTAATCGATGAAATGTATTTGTTGAAGTGGTTGTTCCTAGCTAAATGTGTGAAGGGATGAGGGGAAAAGAGGTTCTAATAACCTCTTAGTATTAAACAGTTCCCTAAAAGCAGACTCTGCTGGCCTGTCATTGCCATTTCCACCCAAATCAATTTGCTCCAAGCATCCCAAGCCCATCAGGTCACAGGTAAAAGAGAGCATTGAAAGCCACCTGTGAACTGATTTATGGTGTCTGGTACCATAACTGTAGTTTCAAAATCCACATTGAACTCAAGACAAATGTCAACCAGAAAGGTATTCCTTGAGTGTGAAAAATTAAAGAATATAACTGAAATATACAAGAAGCCTTTTTTTTGGGGGGGTAGGGGGTTTGCCTTAGGACATGTGCACTCACCAGAGAGAGAGAGATAAAGAGAAAGAGACAGACAGACAGACAAAGTGAGAGGAAAAGTGAGAAATCACCTCCCAGGGGAATGGCCACACTACAATCCCTTCTCCTCCCAGGATCTTGGGCATGCATGCACCTGGCATGATTTTCAAGTCAATGGGTCCAGGACTCAAACCACTGTCAGCCATGTGGGAGTCCAGTGATGTAACCACAATGCCATCTCCCAGTCCCTATGAAAAGTCAAACAAAATCCTGGGAAATGTACACTATGAAAATAACTATGCTGAATTCCAAAACCTAGGGTATCAAAATACACTCGCTTTAATTCCATTTGCCTAACTGTTATTAAGCGAGATTGGCCCAATGTCAAACATGCTATGTGAGTGCCTAGATCTCACATGAGATATGAGGAATGCCAGTAACAGCTCAGTGGGGGCCGTCAGAGGAACACTGCAAAGACACGGCAGAGATGATGCATCTCCACGGTAGTCACCTGGGCACAATCCATTAGAAAGAATGCTTCTCCTATACACGCCGCCACCACTCCCTGAAAACATCTTCCACATTGGCCATGACATCAAGTACAGAATTTCAAAACACTTTTTAAAAAATATTAGATCACAAACATATAGCTACAATATCCTATCAAGAAGAAGGTTTCACTAAGAATAGACAATGCTGAAGAGGCCTGATGGTGGCCCTGTGAGAGAGCTCCGATTGCATATCCAGAGCTCTCCTAAACACACTGAGTCTGGGAGTATGACTATGATCAGAAGCTGGCAAAGCCTGGACCTTCTTCGGAGGTACCTGTCCATCTGCTTGTCTCTCTCTCTCTCATTCAAAAAAAAAAAAAAAAACTAAAAATAAAAAACCTAAAAAAAAATACAATATTAAAAACAAGGAAATGGTTACCGATGGAGATAGTTGATTTCTCATTTTGTAGCCACAAAAGAATCTGCCAGGGGAATGGCCACACTACAATCCCTTCTCCTCCCAGGATCTTGGGCATGCATGCACCTGGCATGATTTTCAAGTCAATGGGTCCAGGACTCAAACCACTGTCAGCCATGTGGGAGTCCAGTGATGTAACCACAATGCCATCTCCCAGTCCCTATGAAAAGTCAAACAAAATCCTGGGAAATGTACACTATGAAAATAACTATGCTGAATTCCAAAACCTAGGGTATCAAAATACACTCGCTTTAATTCCATTTGCCTAACTGTTATTAAGCGAGATTGGCCCAATGTCAAACATGCTATGTGAGTGCCTAGATCTCACATGAGATATGAGGAATGCCAGTAACAGCTCAGTGGGGGCCGTCAGAGGAACACTGCAAAGACACGGCAGAGATGATGCATCTCCACGGTAGTCACCTGGGCACAATCCATTAGAAAGAATGCTTCTCCTATACACGCCGCCACCACTCCCTGAAAACATCTTCCACATTGGCCATGACATCAAGTACAGAATTTCAAAACACTTTTTAAAAAATATTAGATCACAAACATATAGCTACAATATCCTATCAAGAAGAAGGTTTCACTAAGAATAGACAATGCTGAAGAGGCCTGATGGTGGCCCTGTGAGAGAGCTCCGATTGCATATCCAGAGCTCTCCTAAACACACTGAGTCTGGGAGTATGACTATGATCAGAAGCTGGCAAAGCCTGGACCTTCTTCGGAGGTACCTGTCCATCTGCTTGTCTCTCTCTCTCTCATTCAAAAAAAAAAAAAAAACTAAAAATAAAAAACCTAAAAAAAAATACAATATTAAAAACAAGGAAATGGTTACCGATGGAGATAGTTGATTTCTCATTTTGTAGCCACAAAAGAATCTGCAGGGACATGCAAACCATCTAACTTACTGTGTGATTTGTAAATCCAAATAAAATACCTGGTTAACTCAGAAAGATGAAAGGGATTTAAAGTCATATTTTGTATATGTCCACAAAGAATAGAATGTAGATATCATTTATGAACTTTTCTCATTCTCCAATGGAAAGCAGAACTTCTTCTGACAGTTGTATAAGTAGGTCTCCAACAAGGTAGCCTGCTAGTAAACGTCATTTTGTTTCACCCCTTTCTCATCACATAAAGAACAAAATATTGAATTGGCAGCCAATATTGTGAAACAATACCTAATTAAGGGGGGAGTACATGCACTACGTGCATCTAAACTGAGCATTAAATCAGATTCATGGTGCTATTTATTACTATAGAAGCAAAAAGCCAATATTATTATAACATTTCAAAAATAAGGGAAAATGAAATATTACCTCTAATACAACTTATTCTGATGGTACTCATTCTAGGCTTTTTCCTTTAATATGTATGTGTGTATTTTCTTTAACAGTCGGCATGCTAAACCCTACTTTTTATATTTTGCTTTTAAATATATGTATACTACAGTAATATATCTTTCTTTCTATTTTTTTTGGAGAGGTTTCTGCTATAGGTCGTGTGCACTTGCAGAGAGACAGAGAAACAGAGAGACAGAAAGCAAGAAATCACCCCCCAGGGGGGATGACCATGATGTAATCTCTTCTCCTCCATTCTCCTCTCGGGATCTTGGGCATGCACGCACAAGCACCTGGCGTGAGTTTAAGCCACTGGGTCCAGGACTTGAACCGCAGTCGACTACATGGGAGTTCAGTTACATAGCCATTACACTAACTGCTGGTCCTGATATATCTTATTGGCCATTTGGATGACTTTCTACCAATATTTTGCTACTATAAAGGGT